TTTGACTACATAATAACAAGAATTAGAAAAAATATGCCTGAATAATTCAGTTGTACTAGCTTTTATGAAATTCGGTACAAATATACAGTATTTTTCTTGTTTACATGAATATGGTCTTTATATTTGTCCTGATGTGTATAATAATAAATATAATAATGATGACAATAACATTTCTTTAGTTTTATAATGTCACCTCCACTGATTGTAAAGGTTCCCGAAAATACCTCGAAAAAGGCCCACGGACCAGCAGTTGATTTTCTCAGTTGTAGCTTGTTTTGCGGCTCCGAACTATGGCAAGCCGTTGGGGTCATAAATCGGGCGTATATTTACGTGCAAATCCAAATGCGCGGTGCCGTAAATAACGTGCGAAGGCGCAGTGGCGTTAAATAATGTGCGGTGGCGTTTTCTACCCTAACCCTAACCCACTGCGCGTTCGCACGTTATTTACGTCACCGCGCGTTAGGATTTGCACGTAAATATACGCACCGCGCGTTCGGATTTGCACGTAAATATACGCCCGATTTATGGCCCCTACGGCTTGTAATACCGAACACATTTCATTACTGAGACAAGGAGCACAAATGGCTCTTTTGATCATAAAGGTTGCAGACCCCTGGTCTAGACATAAGAAGAGTCCTTAACGAGTTGCAACTGAAGTGTCTTTGATAGACTTCTCCGGGGTCTTCTCAAACAGCGGCTGATGATGTAATGATCAAACAAGAAAGGACTCTGAAGACAGGATTTATTTCTGAACAGTGGAGGTTTTATTCAAGAAACAACAGTCTGCTGCCAAATATCAAGATGCTTTGGGCCCAATCAGTGACGATATCCCCGATCATTGGGATTTCTCCTTTTTATAAGGTTCCATGTAACATAAAATGCGCACATCCTTCTGGGATGTGGCTTATAACAATGCACATTCAATTTACCTCACTTCCTTTTTAAGGTGATAAGCTAAGAACATTCGAGACAACACCTGTATTCCATCAAGTTGTTTTGACAGGTAACTGACATCGTCTTGACAAATAGATGGGGCTCTTATATGCCAGCCTCATGAACAGCTGAAATGTTTCACATCCTCTCTTAACAGGAAGAGAGCACAATACCCTGTCCAAACTGGCCACCCAAATCTTTTGAGGTAACTATAATTTTCTAGGTTTAAATGCATTGTTTTAAAAAGTTATTTCCTCAAATGATTGAGGTGGCTGGTGGGTAATCAATGGGGGGCCCAGGCCACCATTGGTCACTCCCTGGCTCTGCCATTGCACCTTGTGGTGGATCTGCGGTGCCTTGGACAAGCAAAATAAATACTACTTCTGTTCTTTTCCACACAGTAACTCACACAAACTAGAATACAAAAATATTCTGGTTTACTTGTATTCTTTGTTCAGATAAACAACATTCACTATTCAAATCCCTTAGAGAGAATATCTCCAATACTCTTTAGATCCAAGAACCATCAGCCTAACAGTTTGATAGTAACATAATACAGCCCACAATGTTGGATCTGATTTGTATTGCTACTTAGAGATACAGTATTATAGTTTCGTCTTGAACTGCTGATTTAGTTAGGAATTACTTGTCAATATGAAATTGTCTGTCTGAAAGGTGAAGTCGTTCAAAACAAAAATCTGGGTACTAAAATCTTGTAATTGTATAAAAACAAGTAGATATAAAAGAAGTTACTCCAAAACCCTTTTGTGTAAAAAGCTGAAAAGCTCTTGAATGAGTAAACAAAAATGACAAGAGATCCAAGCAGCAGCCATTAACTTATTTATTATACTGAATTTACGAAAAGTCAAAGTAAACACTTGAATAAACAGTACTGTACATATTTAGTCTGTTATCCTATGGTTGTTGTGGTTGGTTGAGTTTGAAAAGCGTTTCTCTTTTCACAAGGCTGAAACTTTACAACCCTTTTCGTTGTTTTTTTACCCATTTCATCTTTTTTAAAAACACCCAAAAGCAGACGATGTGGACACTCCAAAAGAAATAAGGCGAACACAGGTGTGGACGACCCCTTCACTGCCAAAATGAAAGGAAATGGTAAAATCTGGATTTTACTGGAAAGGGAGAATAAAGACAAATCCTCAATCATGTTTTTCTTCTCAGCAACCGTTTTTGTTCCTGCCTGAATTAAAAAAGGGGATTTCATCTCTGCAGCTGGAAGATGTGCTACGACTTTGTTTGAATCTTTCAGGGAAAGTTAGAAATCGTTTTCCCCCCTTAATTATTCTGACTACATCTGAATGCATTGGCTTTATGAATAAACAAACTTCCTGTTTATTAAAACATAAACCTCTACTTTATAAAAGCTGGACAGAAGATGTAGCGAGCAAGAAAAGCAGAGAGTCAGGTACAAGACTGGTGGGCTGCAAAATAAAATAATGAAAAAAGAAGCTTAATTTCTCTCAATAAATGTGAAATCTGGAGGATTTTTTTTAAATACAACAAAATAAATAATCAAGGCATTGTCCATGTTTTTAATCTATCAAGCTTTGATAAAAAGCTTTTTGACATAAGTATGTGATGTTACATCCACACAGAAACACAGAATTATATAAAGATAAGAGGACATCAGTCTTTTGGATGATAAATTAACCGCGTTGATGTTGCATTGTAAGATATATCTGCAGTTTTCATCTATAATACACTGGTGAGCTTCACCTTACTAGCACTCTATAGAATAATTGTAGAACTTCAAACCTTTGTTGTGTAAGAGCTAATTGTCAGGAAGGTAATTCTACAAAATAGAAAATAAAAATGAAATAAAAATCAAGCTCTTCGGTTTGGAATGGACATTTTAACAGTAGCAAACAAACAAAAAGAAAACATTCAGGTATTTTTTTTTTTCGACATTTGATGATATTCTACACCTCACAGGGGCTGCAGAGGCAAGAGAGCAACACCAATACTTCAACGTGAACCCAGAGCAGAAAGAGTCCACAGTGCTAACAGTCACCCTCTCTGTGAATGTTTGGGATGTGTGCAGGGTGCTGCCACGCTCACCGGCAGGAAGGACCCAGGGGTCCATATGAGCCCCCGCGCGCACATGGAAGTGTGTTTCTAGGGGTTGGAAGGAGAAAGAGGAGGCGGAGGGGGAGTAGGCCCACAGGTGTTGAGAAGCTGGGTTGATAAAAGATGATGCACAGGTACCCACAGAGGAGTTCTCCAGTGGTTTGATTGGGGGAGGGGGGGTGTTTGAGGGCAGTTCTGAGGGGGAGAGGGGAGGTTGGCATTAGCACAGCACCAGCCCCCCTCCAGCCTAGAAGGTCTTCCTGTGGATGGCACGTGCTCTGTCTTCTTCATATTCTCGCTTCGACACCCACATCTTTTTAAAGGTGTCCAACGAAGCCAAGATGGAGCCACTGCAGGAGCAGAGAGGTCAGAGTCAACAGTGGGGTGAAAAACTTCAAACCTAGGATGACGCTCACTGTTGGTCAACTTTTCAGTCTTCAATTAAATTTAAGTTTCAATCAAATCACTGGGAAACTGAATTTCTCTGGTCATGTGTTTTACATTTATTGAAATATGAAGCTGGTATTTTTCTGTCCCATGTTGCAATCACTTGTGTTCTCACTGGTTTATTTGCTAAATAAATATGATCATTTTTTCGTTACAGTTTGCTATTTATGAAATAGTTTTAAAGCATGTTCGGCCCAGTTTACACTAAACAGATTTTGAATGAAACGGTAGCTTCTCTGTTGTGGTTCAGTTGTTTTTGTGCACAAAAAACATGAAAATGGAGGGTTTCTGAATCCTGCAGCCTGAAAGTGTTAAGACGACTATGCTCTATTTCCTCAAAACCTTTTTTTTTTGCTAATAAAAATGTTACCAAAACAGAAGAAAACGAGTCTTAAATACATTTGGCTGAATCCTTTGATTTTTATATATGTCTATGTGTTCTGTACTGCCACCTGCTGACTGCAGGGGACACATCGGTTTATTCACCCCTAATTAGGTCAAAGAAATGTACATGATGAGCAATTTGGATAGGAAAAATACTTGAAAAGTTGGTTTTTAATGCTGCTTTACAGAAAGTCTGTTGCAAAAACTGAAAATTTGTAAAGCTATAATACGAAGAGGAAGATGCTGAGCAACCAGCATGATTGAGTTGCTCTTTTTTCAATCTCATCAGTCTGATCTGAAGACTTAGGTGAGTTGGTGCGGGAGGAATTTGTGTCCATAAAATAACATTTCTGTTATTGTATTAAAGTATTTTGCACAATAAGCACGGATGAGCTCTGAACTCTTACCCGATCCATGTGGAGTACAGCCTTTCTTGTGGAGCAGAGATCTACACAAGCAGAAAAGAAAAGACAACAAGTCAGAAAACAAATGTACACAGGACTTTAAATGATAATAGGAGTTTAGTAGTAATGTTTAAATGATTCTAGCTGGTACACTTCATTTCAAGTGTTTACAGTTAGTTTAATGGCATTTCAGAAAATGATTAATAGAACTGAACAACTCCCGTTGACATCCTAATAAATGTTTCTTTGATTTAAGACGTTTTGCTGTTTCCTCTCCCTCTTTTTATGAAAATAATTCAGATTTGTCTCTCTTAATACAGAGATGCACCAAACGAGTGTACTGAAATCAGTACCGGCAATACAAATCCTAAAAATCTGATTTAGCCCCCACCCCCACCCCCGCCTTTAAACAGTCAGCACACAGAAATCTAACGTTTTTTTTGTCCATGAACGCATCATTGACACAGCACATGGAAGAGCAGAGAGCACATAATCATAAGTTTTTACTGCGAGTAAATAAACCCAAAAGGTAACGGTTTGTAGAGTGAGAGCTTGTTTAGTTTGGCTGAATGTAAAGTAAATGAAAAAAATTAACTATCTGGCAGAAATGCACTCAATAATTATTAAAGCAGGCTCAGTGCTTTAAAGGAGACCAACTATGGGTCCTAGAAATTTTTATGGTATGTCTGTGGGCTATCCAGACCATGTTCATTCAATTTAATGCACAAAATAATTCTCAGATAATAAAATTTCCCATTTTCTAGTTCTGCCTGCTCTGACTTCTGTTCAGAAGAGCTGTTTATGTTAATGAGCTCYGTTGGTAACGCCCTCCAAAAATCTGTTGACATTAACTCCGCCCTCCAAAGCCAGCATTTACGTTAGCATGGCTAATAATAGCAGAAGCTCCGTTGTACAACTGTATACTCTGAGTCAGACCCAGAGGCAGAGTCGTGGTCACAGCTTCTTTTTTTCCTCCCTCCTCTGCTCTGCCCTCACTCTGCATGCTGTTACCAGAGCAGGGAGCAGCAGCGGTCAAAATACTTCAGAAACTCAAACAAATAGGCTTTAACAAGGCTTTAATAAGCTAAACAATAGAGGTACATGAGAAAACACGTTCATAACCAATGAAAATAAAAAATTTAGTTGTGTCCATGCCGGTCTCAAACTCTGGTCTCCTGCTCTCTGGTCCAACTCTCTACCCATTGCCCTATTGGAAGGCTTATTGTAAAATGAGCTGCGCATTACACAACAACACCGTGATGGCTTTTTATATGGAGGAGGTGGAGTTTCACCCGGGGGTTGCTAGGTAAGGGGCTGAACGCAGGTTCCAGTGGGTTGTCGTACAGCTTGTGACATCACAAAATGACGTAAGTATAAAACTTGTCGTTAATATACATTAAAAATACATTTACTTACAGTAAATATGCCCCTGGGTGCATTTTTTAGTCCTAGGACTGTTTTTTTTAAGAAGTACATACCCAAAGTTGAGTAAAAAAACCTTTAAAAAGTGAATTTTGCATAATAGGTCCCCTTTAAGAGTCTAGCTTTACAGAGGAAGAAGCTCAAATGAAGCCTTTATGAAGGAGGCTGGCAACGAAAAAAAGAAAGTGGACCAACCTTAATCTTCACGTCTTTAGGTGCAAGTTTCTTGACTTCAGTTAGTAGCCTTTCCCCAAAGCCTGAAAACAAAATAAAAGTCTGTGAATGTTAACATCTGTTAAATTAAAGTGCACAATTTTAGTCATGCTTTCTGAAGTGTTTTAAAATTTACATTAGAGGCTAATTGTGTTTCACAGATGCATAAAATATATACATTGTAAAATTCAGTTTTGTCTTGGTGACAAATTAAAATGAAGATTAGATTAATTATAAAACATTTCAAACATATGTGATATTTTGTAAACTTGTTAAAAATGTGTGGACAGTGAAGACTATAAATTAAGAACATTATGTATTATATACACTCTTTTTGTTAGTGTACTGATTTGTCTTTTGAGTACAAACTAAAAAAAACAGTAAAAAGGATTAAAAATGTCCATTATTGCATTCACTTAATGAGAGCATAAAGAACACATGTGTGTGCACCGTCACATGACTCAGACCTTTGATCAGTGTCGACCCTCCACACAACACAATCGTGGAGAAGAGTGTGCGTCGCAGGTCCATGTCAGACTTCTGGATGGCGTAGGCCAGGACCTCGTGGATCCCTGAGCTCTCGTCTCCAATCAGGTCGGGTCTGAACAGCAGCTCTGGAGCGCGGAACCTCGAGGGGCCAATCTGAAGACGATGAGGCGACTTTTTCAGGGCTTTGTGTTTACAACCAGGAAGAGCGAGTACTTAGCTTTTAAACACAAACACTCCTCAGCGTCTGCTGGACTCACATTTAAAGTGCTTCCATCTGGCAGGACGTACTGAGCCTTCTCTGTTTCTAAAGTCTCGTCCTTCTGTGGGTTGAGGGACAGGTAGCAGGCTCTCTGTTGAGGTAGAGTCATGGCTGAGTCGACGTTTCCGACAAAGATTAGTTGTTAAAACTTTAAAAGCACTTCCCAGCAGCCGCCTCACCTCTTTGATGGTGCGAACGACCTCGAACTCAGCCGACGTGTTGAAGTTGTAGCCCTCCTTGCGCAGCAGCAGACGGAGGTACCGCGAGACGTCCCTGCCAGCGATGTCCACGCGCATGATGGAGTGAGGAATGGCGAAGCCCTCGTAGATGGGCACGACGTGGGTTACGCCGTCACCGGAGTCCAACACAACACCGGTGGTGCGGCCTGTAGCGTACCTGCATGAAGCAGAGTGTCAACGTGTTTCTAAACTGCTTTGGCCTTTTTTTTTTGAACAGACATTGAGCAGAAGCAACTAGAAGGTTGATTTTTATCTGTAGATTGGAGCTTCTTCAGCGAGAACATGGGAGAGTTACAGAGAACATACTGCCCTCTACAGGCAGAGTGCAGCAACTTCATAAGCAGAGAAATTTAGCAGAAAACTTACTACACAAAACATAAATTAATTAGGGCTGTGAAATTAATCGAGTTATCTCAATTAATTTTAGTGCTGGGCACAGATTAAAATTTTTAATCATGATTAATCATGATTAAAATTTACAATCACTTTACTATGGTTGAATATGTAGGTTTGTAAATTGCAATGCACTCAGTGCAGCCAGGTCATATTTGTAAACGAGAAGTGGTTCTCAAACAGTTTACCTGGATAAATAAAGATTAAATAAATAAAACAAATAAATAAAAACTCCATGTGTAACACATTATGTACAGTTTTTTTTTTCTTTTTGTCTTCTTATTTTATTTATTTATGTTTCACTGACAACTGTGACCTTAGTATCTATCCTTCATTCCTCATGTAGTTCTCATTTGGAATGAATATGCTTGAATTC